GATTTTGCAGGAAGTACAATGGCTTCACTATGCTTTTTCCCCTCTCTATCCTCCACCAGTGTTTTGCGTGGATTACAAAAACTAACATAATAAAGAGGATAATTCCACGGCGAAATTTTTTCAAAAAACCTTAGCAAGGCATTTTCATAAAAGCTACCCTAGTGGCAGTGATGGTTCTAAAACAGAAAGCCATTTACGAAGTTTTCACCAATACATTTAACTTTTGCCTGATTATACTGGATCTTTTCTCATGCAGCACTTCAAATTAGAGGACTTAAAAAATATTCTGTTGGAGTCTTCAATCATTCAGCTTTTCATGTAAAATGTTGCACAGAAAAAATGGGGGGGACTCATAAAGTCTTTAAGACTTCCCTATATTTTCGAGCAGTTTATATCTCACAGATTGATTTTTTATCACAAATTCTTGCAAATAATATGCTCTGCTTCCTGGATTTCATAGCCGCTCGAGCTACCACTATCTTTGGTACATTTATATTCCTCTGAAACCAAACTGTTTTTAGTTTTGATTTTTTCCTGGGGTATCCTTTTGTCCAAGCCTTGCCATGAACCACTTTTGGACCTAAAGAAAGTCCAACTAATTTACCCAAAAAACCATTGTAAGACACCTTCCATTCGAACTAGGGATACCACATAGTCATACTTAAGTATAGGTTCTCAAAACGCAAGTAAACGAAAAACTTATCATACTGGGGACCTAGGGAATCATATAAGCATTGAAGCGGTGGAATATATAGTACCTCACTCTTTCAGTAGTTACTGTTTCTCTCCCCCCCCCCCCATATATCCACTTCCTGATCAACACAAAACCTGAGTCACCGAAAAAGTCGTCAGCACATGTGTGTGCCTCTCTCACAAGATGCCATTCACACGATTTTTTCAATAGAAGCCAAAAAAAGTAGTAAACATGTCAGATGCACTGGACAAAATTATATATATTTATGCAACAGGGCGTCTACGTCAACAATGTATTCATATAGGGATGACAGGGTCTTACGTCAGCAAGAATAATCGTCTGAACTTCTTCCCCGGTATCAGAAAAAAGCATAGACTCCACCCCTTGTGCACGGAAAAGAACGCAAATGCCTATAATCTCGGTATTTGCTAGTCACGCTAAGATGAAAGGGCATTTATGTCGCTCCGCCTCCTTGCCAGGATTATTTCAGAGTCAGTTTCCATCTGTACATATTCTTCAACTGGCACACACGTGCATTCAGCTTCTTTGAGAAATTTTTAGACAGTCAAATAAATCTACCCTTGAAATCAAATCAAAGGCACACTAATTCTAATATAGGGATATTGCATCTGAAAAAAAAGAAGATAAATCATTCATAACCATCATTCGCGTGCCCTATATGTATTGTAAAGTGCCAAAGCCAATGAAGAAAAATTTCGAGTACGCTACAACGATTTTGGCGGGAAAAAGCTTAGTCTGTTCACCATAGCGACTTTGAATATTGTAGGCTCGCTACAGCAAAGTCAGTGATGAGTGCAGTGCGTTCAACAGCGAAATAATTTAGCGGGAATTAGTCTAGTATGCTTGCCACAGCGATTTTGGCGCGAAAAAGTGCAGTATGTCCACCATAGCGGTTTTGGCAAGAAAATATACTTTAGACTGAATTTTCTCTGCAGCGAAGTTGGCGACGAATACAGTTCGCTCTTTCAACGCATTAATTTGGTGAAAATTAGTCCTATGTTTTTTTTGGAGAGTGGGAGCACGGTATCCCTCATAAAAACCGGCGTAGTGAAATACGTTCGTTGACTAAGACCGCCCTTTAATCTTCCCTTAAAGGAGATAGCCAAAGCTTTGACCTACATCATAATAAAATAAGCCTATCTGAATCATCCGCGCAGGACGTAAGCCAGGAAATACCTTACCGCGCAGCCTACATAACTTCCATATTGTGATCAAAATTCATGTAGCTCGCACCACTTTTGCTTGTTCTTCCTATCCCCCCCCCGTGCATTGTATTTATTCATCAAATCAACTCGGTGTGTTTGTACAAAGAATGACATTGTAGTTCTCCATGTCAGATGAATTCAAAAGAAATTTCTCAAATTGACGTGAAAAATCTATTGCATTGATGTCATCTACTTTCCATTTGTATCAGCTTTGACATACCCAACTATTTGCCCTCCCTTATACTGAATATTTCAATCCATTCACTTGTTCGTGCTTCTTTTATGAAATGAATAAATAGTAACACGTACTTTGCTAAAATTTATTTATTTATTTATTTATTTATTTCAATACACTCATGGTGTGCCTAAATTTCTTTAAATTTAGATTTTAGATTTAAATTTTTAAATTTTTTTAAAATTTCCATCATTTCAAAACCGTCCAACCCCAAAAATCAATTTTTGAACTCCATACTCGTTCTTCCGAAGCGCTTTTAATACAGATGTCCTAATGAAAATGTACTTTTTGAAACGGCTCACTTTCGGCATTCTTTCAGTTTCCTTCTTCAACAAGAGTGCATGAACTCGTCCTCAAAAGTTGAGGTTTGATAAAATTACTTTTTTTCTTTGTTGCAAAAATTCGCCCAGATTTTATTAGCCTAGTTGTTATTTGAAACCAAAAGCCATAGTTTGCACCTGTCATTTATTCTACTGCAATTTCAAGAATGCATGGAACTTTACTATAAACTGCATTCGTCTAGCCCCGACGCACTAATATTCAAATAGAATTGCTCACTTGTTGACTGAAATGGCACAATGGCTATTTACTTTCACAACTAATCGTGCCCATAAGTCCAAAAATATAAACTTTGTCAGGAAAGCGGAGGTAAAAGCTTTTGGAATCAAATCCTAGCACAATTCGTATTTCTCTTAAAAAATCTATCGAGACGTCTGAGAAAGAGCGCAATCCTCTTAACCACACAAGAACATAGGATAAGCCAAGATTAGTGGGGAAAAGGGATTTTTGCTTTGTACGCAACATCTATGATTCTATGAATCCTATGTAGTGGTTCGGATATTGGCCCTGTTTGGACCCAAATGCCCCGTACCTGTTACATTTCTATCTTAAGAAACACCCTCATAACAATTCTTTTTCCAATTTTTAAATTTATACTCATCATCTCGCTTTGTTTCTAAGCAACAGCGCTTGTTATCCTTTTTTGAGAAAGCCATCCTACCATTTGCTAATCTTGGCTTGCAGATACACAAACCGAGACATTTGCCTTTCATTTCCCATTCCGGGGTTAATTTACTGAATGAGATGCATGTTGTTTCTAACAAAATCACCTCTTGAGAACAGCTAGTGGAGACCCACAAGGAGCTATCAGCTAATGCACAATTTTTTCGAGTTTGGAAATACTTTCCAACTTTTTGAATAGAGGAAACTCGATCATTTTATAATTTTTCATTTATTCTACACACTTCAAAGCTTGCCAAGGAAAACAGGAAATAAACTCTAAGTCTAAAGAAAATATTTTTACAAAACGAGAACATAAATCAAAGTTGGTCAAGAATAATTTTTGTGTTGTATTAGGAAAAATCAAAAGCGTCAAGATTTTGCTCGCAGACATTGCAAACAATCATAAAGCCCAGTTTTTCCACCTCCATGTGTAACCCCACTATGTAATTGTACTAAATTAATTACTTTTCACCAAAATATGCCCTATCAACATCAAGGACCATTTTATTTATATTTAGTTTATAGTCAAGGAAAACATGTCTTTTCTGTCACTTTGGAGTTGTTTTTCTAGAACATATTGCATCCAATGAATGGAGGGCGCTTATCCATATGTGCAATTACGTCATCGTTCTCTTACAATAAGTGCAAAAAACTTGCGAGAAAATCTTGAAGCACGATCTTTCATGCCTAGCCTAACCCCCTCACAGCTCTTCGGATTAGTCTCAGAATTTCCAAAAATGTTGATCGATCTTGCAGCTACCATATGGCAACGATTTAGAGTTCTTTGAGTCTCACAATTGCTAGTGGCCTCGAAGTTTTCTTCGAGTAGGTTCGACGACTCTGAAATCTTCATAATTGCTCCCCCAATTTTTACGAAGCCATGACCTCGCACTTCTCTAACAGGCTGTTCTAGATTATTTTATACAAGTAAATTTTTATTAACTAACGCCAAAAACTTACTTTATTAATTTTGAATTCTGAAATTTGCAGATCTTTCTTGGAGAGAGGGGGGGGAGGGGTTCGCATATCACAGCTAAGCAGTTATCTGAACTATGAACTATATGTGAAGGCTATCAAGGGTTTTGCCCCAAAGCTGTTAACTACTTCGAGCACCCAATGATTTCATCGTTAGTACAAAAAGCGCTGTAGCGCCAATTACCCATTACCCTTGCCGGACAGCCCTATTCTCCTCCCCCTTCTAGATACTTATATGCAGTAAAAATTGCTCAGACTACTATAGCCGTAATACGTATGTAGCGTTTTACCTCATGAACTTTCAATTCTGAAAACTGGCCAGTCTATAATTTTGTCTGGCGTCGTCGCCATCACTCTTTGCCAAATTACAGATTCTTAAATAGGTAAGGAATTATTTTAGATAAAACGTAGGAGGGGCAGCCCACTCAAAAAAAATTACAGCTCTTCTTCAAGAAATGTTCATTTGTGACCCTATCTTGTGTATTTATAAAAGGGAAGCAGAGAAGTGAGAAAAACCCTTGAAGGAGCGGAGGGGGGGGGGACCAAGGGGCAAAAAATTTTTGCTCTATCTGACCGATTTCGCATTTGACAGGGAACTTATAGCGGTATAGTACCTAAGAGTATGTGTCACTCTAGCTTCGAGTGCTAGCTTCTGTTCGTCAGGATTATGGTAAAGGTACGGTAACATAGGAAGGGGAGGAGCGAAAGAGGAAAGAAAAACTGCACCACTCATTTTCCATACAAATGTCCACTGATTCTGCCTATTCTGTCAGTATTTATCCTCGCTGTTACCAGTGTACCGCTGTTGTCGCATACTCTCGTGACTGCGTCTCTTCCAAAATCAATCAATACCAATCAATACTTTACAGGAACCGATCCATACGATGCAATGCAAAGATGATATGCAATTGTTCGACTTGAAAGATAATGCTACACAAGAATTTTTCCATGAACTGGAAACTTTCAACCAGTCAGTTCCATGAAATTTTTTTTAAAGCTCGATTAATGATTGATTATCATATTTCAGGATCTATACAGTATTTCATCGATATTTATGTGCAGTACTATGTACCGTTGGAGTAGTTGTTAACACTCTGCATTTCTTTGTTTTGAGGTGAGTTTAGCTATGAAATTAGTCTTGGAGGGGGGGGGGGAAGTGAATGGCTGATTATCCGCGGTCCGCTGGCTGATTTCGTGAAGACCACATTCTCCGTTTGGCTTCATTTATTCCCACTGAGGAAAATTGCCTCTGCCCTTTCCTCTCTTTCCTCTAAAGATTCTTCATAAACAAAGTAAAATCGTGCCAACTGGGGCCATTCCTTTCCCTTACTTCCTCTTACCGAACTCCTACAGTACGAGCACCGCAGGTAAAACAGGAATATTTTCAGTCGACGTGCAATGCGCGCCTACATTATAAATGCTCTACTTTGTGCTATGGCAGTGTGTGATGCTTTGACAATGGCCTCATACTTAGTGTATATTCTACGATTTCGAATTTTTGACAATCCAGAAGGCTCTTTCGGGCAAGTGCTTTATCATTTTTTATAATTTTTTTTTGCCTAGCCATGTTCAAAACAAAACGTAATGACTATTAATCACGATATCAAACAATTCTAAACTATTTAATTCACGTAGGCGTCTGAAATAGCCCAAACAGCGATTATACCGATGATACTTCCTCGTAAATTACCTTTTATGTGTTATGATAACATCCTCATCCCTTTCTCGCATAGCGATAAACAACCCGGTAAACCTCAAATTATCGTGAGCACAAACACGCTTTTCCAGACAAACCAAAAAATATCTACGTAAAATATGGGAAATTTAATATATTCTCACTGAAATGTTTTCGAGGAGAGTGGTTATGATAATGATTTCCTTATCCTATAAAGTTGAAAGAAAATAGGGTTTTGATTATTTTCTCGCTTTATAATTATTTTCATTTTTCAACACTTATCTCGAGATATTGGATAATTATTTATATTCTATTACTAGTAGCCAAAAATTTTGAACGATGGAAAGACGAGTGCGCATGGTGTAATTGCACCAATTACTCAAAGCTGAAAATATCTTAGACGCTTTCTAAATTCTCAAAAAATCGCTTTTTTTTTCAACAAGAATATGCGTATTTTCGACTTCAGAATTAGTTGTCCTATAATGATGTAAAATGCAAATTCCTCCTATTTCCTTATTTCCTTCAAAAGAGCAAAATCGAGAATGAGAACTGTAGCCATCTGTTCCATAATGTGCTATATTATACAGCACCCATCTTTGTCCCACCAATTCAGACACCAGACAGCACAAAAACTAGAACGACTTAATAAAAATCTGATTATGCGTGGTGTTTTATGACGCATAAAACTATCATTAGAATCATATTCTTGCGTCACGAGATATTTTCACGCACATCAAATCCTAAAAATAAATTCAGGACGAGATCGCGCGGCAATTAATGTAATTGTCCTACCACACGACGCAAATTCTCATGCATTTCCAAAAAAAGAGAATGTGCCTGAAGCATTGATTTATTCGGAGGGAATGATGTTGAGGTAAAGGGGTCGGGAAAAGAGGCGGGGGGGGGGGGGGTTAAAAATGTATTGCAGATGCAAAAATGCAAAAATCCCTTACATAGAGGTTTTTATAGGATCAACCTGCTGGTCAATATGGTTTGCTAAAATTATAGTTTAAATTTTACCGTAAACATATGAATTTCTGGTAAAATATACAGTAACCTTAAAAGTAGACGTTGAGGAAAAATAAGAACAGAAAGAACCAAAAATCGAATTATGGATAAGTATAGATAAGTAAGCAAGTACAAATAAGTAAATTAGTAATCTATGGAATAAGCCGGGTTTGTCGTGTACTCGGTTAACGCAGTTTCTACTCCTGCCCAATACCGTACTTCTAGTGGACCTGAGCGTTGAGTACGGTGCTGGGCAAGAGTTTGGAACTGGATTTTTCGTTCTTGAATTCATACGACATGCAGCTTTTGGCAAATTCTTAGCTAACTTCCCACTCAGTGTCCATGGATATTTTGAAAAAAAAGAAAGACGTTATTTTCAGGTACCCTTATTCTTGGCTTGTGTTCCTCATCGTACATGTAACCTCATCGATTGCCTTTCATACGGGTTCTCTTTATTTATCCGTCATAATGGCATATATACGATGGACAGCATTAGACCGATTGGATGCAAAATGGATTAACAGCAGTGCCATCAAGTAAATTATTTTTTGTGGAAATAATCTACCCTCCACCTGTATGACCGTTTTTCAGGCACATATTTTTCTTCACTGCATTCTCCGTTACCTTCATCTCTATACCAAACTTATTAGTTCACAAAATCGTCTCGCTCAATGAGATTTTTCACACCAATGTAACCGAGGTAAACATTTGTTTTATTCGTTCAAGATTCCAAAAAAACCTTTAAAAAATTATTCACTGAAAGGCCACCACCATTTATCGCAAAAATGGTTCTTTAATGAAAGATGACAGTCCCTCTCAAACAATTTTGAACAATGAAAATTTTGTGCAAATTTTGAGCTATACAGTCGAGGAAGTCAAAAAGGGGCGTGACGTCAAACATCTCCCCCCAATACTTTCTATAATGCTAGTTTTACCTAGTTTTGACTATTATAAAGTGTACAAAAGTGACAAAAACCTGCACGTTTTAATCACCACTTTCACACAAAAATTTCACTTATATGTTTGAGGGGGGGGGGGAGGAGCTGAAAACTTCGTATCGATCTTTGTACGATTTACTTCAACAAGATAGACGACTCAATTTGCACTTATGAATAACTTTAATTACAAATGCACTGTCACTACCAGTGCGTGTCCATTCCAGCACTTCCAAACCACCCAGAACAAGCCTACGCCCTAACAAAATGTCAGTGTCCTAATTTGTCCAGAAAATTACAATGCTTGCGTTTGTGCTCAAATCCAAACCCAATTAGAGACAACCCTATGAGGCAATACGCGATGCAGCCTAATTCAGTACAGATTAGAATAAAGAAAAAAACTGCAATAGAGCACATTTTGGACGGGACGTTGTGGGAAACCACGGAGAACGATTAGCTTCAAAAAATTTCATTAGTATGTGTGTACTGGTGGGGAGTTTTTAGAATGCTTTAGTTAATTTTTGGTTCTGACGAATAATAAATAAGAAGGATTGGTATTCTCTCTGTTAATTATTCACAATACGTAATTACAGATTATTAATTTTGCTAGTTATTACATCCACACAAAAAATAGAAATTGATTAATTGAATACTCTATGAAGACAAATTAAATTTCATCAAGAAAAAATTGACTTTGCGATTTTGCTCTATGTCCTAATATATCTTCGACTAAAGCTGTATTTCCCAAGACCCTGGCAGAGGAGGAAACTACGAAAATAGGCGTCACCTTTGCGGACTACTGGTCCTCAAGCGGTATCCAATAGCATGTGTGAAAAGACCAGTCCTCGGAGGCTACACTGGCGGAGACTCGATATCGCGGATAACATTCCCTAATTTTTTTTTTGGTTTTGCCAGATTTCTTAGTAGATTTATATTACCATGTCGAAGCCTACCGTTTGTGAAAGAGGAAAACTGAATCCTATTATATTAAAAATAATCAATAAATAACAGTATAAATCAAATAAACTGATTTTTCACAAAAGGCAACTTGGTCGGAAAACCTCAACCTAGTTTCATTTCAGTATGACCATCTCTACACCGTAGAACTAGATCAATCTGGTCTGAATGGATGTATGTTGTTTCGAGCCAATTTGTGGATTACGGGAATTTTTTTCAAGGTACTAGAAGTTTCTGATACTTACCTGAATCCATCATATATTTTGAAAGTAAAAAAAAATTTTAGGCCGTTCCTTGCGCGCTCTTGCTCTGGTTTACCATAGCCTTAATATGGAAACTTTGTGAGATGAGCGAAAAACGGCGATTACTTCGCGGTGATGGCAATAATAACAGGTATCATGAGATTATTCTGTGGCTACTATTTGAGTAGTAAGTATATTATAGGAAGGCAAAGTTGAGCATTGACAAAACAACTTTGATGCTAATCATTATGTTGGTTGTCTTCCTCTGCACTGAATTACCGCAAGGTAAGAATTATTGGTTATTTCTGGCAAAACTCTTGCGGGGGCATCTCGTATAGGCATCTCTGCATAAGGGGAGGGAAAGGGACTCTCTGCACCGCTACCGTACTAGTATGCTACCGTTACGCACATGATACATAAAGACGGGGAGACGATGTCAGTCGCTCTATTATGTAAAAAGCATTCTTCTGATTTAGAATGTTTAACAAAGTCCTTTACGGTAGCATACTATGTATCGCGGTTGGAAGTAATCAAGCAGAACCGGATATCTGGACTTTCTATCTGGGCGTTTGAAGGCAGAGACCATAGCCAAACCATAACCAAAGAAACAACTCAAGCTTTCATTCGCGGCCGAGAATTCAATTCCGACTTAGCCCAAACCGTATTCTTTCCCGACAAGCCAATTATAGCGCTGGGATACGGTAATGATAAGTGATGGTAAGTACGGTCTCGGCTAGAATTCAGAGCTGCTTTTCTCGGCCACGAATGAGTGACATGAGCCGCCGCTTGGGCAATAGCTTAGTGCCTCCCAATGAATTCTTACGTAAGAAACCAAATACATAGATTTTTCTACATGCTCTCTTCTTGTCCCCAAGCAGAAAAAAATCCTAGCCGTGTCCGTCAGACATGATTTTCTCATCTTCTAATTCTATTCGATGCTTTGGAATCCTCGAAAAAATGTAATTGTTGTTTCAGGGATGCTAGCCATTCTCTCTGCTATCTTCCCCACGCATATACACATGATGGTCTATGTCAACGTTGGGGAAGTGCTGGACTTATTATCACTAGTCAACTGTTTGACATCGTTCGTGCTCTACGTCTGCATGTCCAGCACATATCGTGCCACAGTCAAACAACTTTTCATGCCAAATCACAAAACCGCCATCCAGAAGACCACGCTAGCAGCGCAGTCCTTGAAACTGCTCATGTCATGATAGCACGAGAACTGGTCCCTGACGTGTAGCAAGAAGTTATTAATGATGATTGTTATGTGGTCGCTCCTGGTCTATTTTCGCCCAATTTCACAAATGTCAGTCATAAGAGCTTTTCCAAAGCAATTGTGAAAAGACATTAGTGGAAATACTTCTGTTACATTGTTGCCTCCATTTCAACGTGTATTGTAGTTATTTGTTACTAGCAGAACATGGCGATAAGCACCGCCATGTTCTGCACCGCTCGACTGAAACTCCCGCATGCAGGAGGAACAGTTGTCCGGAGTGTGTAGTTCGTCGGTATGTAGATAAAGGCTGATCGCGCACGGAGGCGGATGCCCTTACGAAGTGATCGCATACGAGTGCAGTGCGGAGCGGTTATGGGCCTCCAATGTGTGCATCGCATGCGCTCCAGCAGTGGTAGGTGCTCGTCCGCTGCATTCGCGCCTGCTTCGTGGCAATAAAGAACGCGCCTTCGTGCGGGACTAGCCTTTACACCTAGCTTTAGTACAGTAGTGTTTTAGTTATGTCATGTAAATACAGTTGTACATTGAAGCCATAATCCTACGCATTCATGCGAAATGTATAATGCATTGTTGGAAGCATGCGGGTTGTAATAAATCTTTTCTCATGAACAAAACAAAATTCCATTTTGACACAACAAAAGCGAAAAACAATAAGAAGGGTATCACTAGTGCAATCATTCATTGTTCTATCATCAACTATGACATAAGGCAAAAAAAAAAAAGATTTGCAAAAACGATGTTTTCAATTTTGAATCGTTATTTCGTAAAATAGTTTAGATCGGATTCTCGAACAGGGCTCGGCACGAGCTGGCACCAGGGAAATTTCAAAACGAAGTCCCGTTTGATATTGAAAATTTCGTAGGAAGTCCCTTTTGACCTGTTTTGAAAACCCGTCATCATTTTTATATCATGTCAAAAAAATGTAGTAGTGTTTTCACGCATTTCTGATTTCATGAAAGAACTTTTCACAGCTTTCTGAGCTTTCTAAGTGGTCGAATCACATCCTGAGAAGCAGAAAAAGCCGATTTTTTGACTGCGGAGCGGGCCGAGTGGTTTTCAAATTGCTATAAAACGCTGAAAATAGAACATTATGAAACTGTTTCTTCTCCGTATGTAATCTTTTACAGTGTAGATACATTTTATATAAAAAAGTATGAAAACTTATGTGAGCAAAGTGTCGGTGCCAGCTCAGCTGGCACCCAGCTGGCACGGTGCCAGCTAATTCAGAAAAAAGTTAGGCATAGCTTTCATTCACATAAGTTTTCATAAATTTTTGGCCCGTAGTTCCGGTCCGCCAACGCGCATGCACACACCAAATTTGGTGTCATACTATTGCGTTTCGGCTGAAAACAACGCCTTGCCAATGGCATGCCGGTGGCATGCCGGCGGCATTTTTGCGGTAGTTCTCCGCCTCGGCCCCTATAGAAACGATATCCCCTTTGCTTTCCGCCCTAAAAACGATATCCAGCTTGACCCGGTGCCATCTGTGCTGAGCCCTGTTCTCGAATGTTTTCACAAAGAGAACAAAATAATTCTTGGCCAGAAGCTAGGAAGCAATTGAAGAGAAAGCAAATCCACAGTAAAATCTTGTAAAATCATTGTAGTTTCTCCTATCTAAAATTCATAAAAACGCTATGAAAAGAAGCACTTGTCATATGAGTTTTCGTAAACCAGAAAACTGCTTCAATAATGCAAGATATAACTAGCCTAGCGGAGACCAAGCTAAAAGAGCAACAGCAAAGGATTCACAGCTTTTCAACCATTACAAAACGATCAATCAATGTCGACGATGCCTTCGCCTCCGTCGACGCAAAGCTTCCAGCCAGCTCCTGTGAAAATTGAAAGTTCAGAAGAGCTACTTAGAACTTTTACCGTCGATACTTACATAGACTTATACTTATTACTATTAAGTTCAAAAGCAGCACTCTGGTTCTCTCGTAAATAACTGAATCATTTTTCTTTAATTTCTCTCTTTTCTGTAATTTTTTCCATATTTTCTCTCAACTCTATACTGACGATAGCAGCACTCTTATTGTTCAAACATCGTGAAGGCAGAAACTGAGAGAAAATGCCACGAATAAAAAAAAACAGCTAAAAAGGGCCACGAATAATCTCCAGCAGAAATTTATGGCAAAAAATTATAGAAGCTGTAAAGAGTGCGATATATGATTGCCGATGCGTCAGAAATTGAAAAAGGCAACTTTTATAGTAAAACTACTTCCTCTACAGCAATGTAAACATTTAAGTACCCTATGAAGTCTTCAATCACCCCAAACTTCCTCAACTATAGAGTTTTGGTGATTTACTTTGTTCTCTTCTAGTAGACGATTGTGACAGCTACATTACGTTACAAAATGGGTGTCACGTGCTGCATGCGTAATGAAGCTCTTCCGTTGACCAGACTAATGCTATAGGCACAAGAAAGGACCATTACGCACACATCAATCCGCATTAAGACGCAAAAAACATGAGCGTGCTTTATACCAACAAGGAAGATATTTGTGATGAAAATGAATTCACTTATAAATAATAGGGTTTCAGAGGCCAGGGAAGATTTGGATGTTGGATACTTTTTTGTTCACTTATAGCCTCTAAATGATGCAATGAAAAAGTAGCAAACAAGCCGCCCATAGTTGTCGCCCATGGAGGTGAAGATGAGACATCAGAAAACTTGTGAAAAAGTGACCGCTTTGTGGATCAGATCCGAGCCACAATTGAATACACAAGCATCTTCCATGTACATTCGTTTCAAAAGTACGTGTGCAAGAAAAGAAATGATAGAAATTACTCGAAAACCTTCAGAATCACAAAATGATTCACAAAAAATTTTTTTGAATTTGCCATAATTCGAAACGACTCACATCAAGCAACACCACTGCTGACGTTTTCGCTCGCGTTCTCGGAATTTTTGCGTGTAAACTTCAGCTACCACGTCACCTGGCATTTGCGAAAATTGCATTTGTGACAGATCCTCCTCCTCAAACAATAGATGTCAGCACAGTAATGGCAAGCATGTATACAGATGACATCACATGGACAGGCTTTGTGAGCGAAAATCTAATTATGAAGACCTACACTACCTTTATTGAAGCAAGTTTATCCACGAGTACACTCATAGTTGAACTATTGGGATCGCAGTGTGAGACTGCACACGTTACCTAAACATGGACAAAATCTTTTGTTCTGCTAATTGTAATTTCCTGGGCTGCGTCCGGAGTTGCCCGTGCCAGAGCCGTCCCAGTGCCGTTCCACCGTAATCGCACTGCCGGGATTGTGCCAGTGGAAGACGACTGATCAAAATGCAGAGCGTCTATACGGGTCCCAGCACGGCGCTGGCACAGGTGTAGCACTCCGGCAACTACCTTAAAGGCAGTGTCCGGGCAAAAACTCGATTTTGAGATTTTATGCTTACTTGGGCCTATTCGCTACGCTGGATCCGAAAATGCACATTGTAGAGCGCGAAAATGGCGAAAAACGGCTCTAATACAGGAGGGAAATGAGCAGGTGGGCGGGGTCCTCCCCACTGCGAATTCACGTTCCCGGCTTCAGGAGCGACCTTCTCACTTCCGGTTTCAAGTCAATCATTCACACTTGACCAGTAGCGATGTTAGGACGGCTAGCGGAATCGAGAAAATCGCTCCGGGAGCTGGGAGCTTGAAATCACACTGGGGAAAGCCCCGCCCACCTACTGATTTCTCTCCTGTGTTAGAGCCCTTTTTCGCCGTTTTCGCGCTTTTTAATATGGATTTTCGGATTCAGCATGGCGAATAGGCCCGGGTAAGCACAAAATCTCAAAATCGAGTATTTGCCCGAACACTGCCTTTAAAGTCAGTTTTTGGTTTTGTTGTGTTAGTGTCTGATCAGTTGTTTCCTCGTATGATCTGCCCTCGCTGAGGCGCCTGCAGCCTCATTGCGAAATGAGCGCTATAAAAGGCGCTCGCTGTTAGCCATTGTCAGTTCGTCTGTTCACTCATCTGCCTCTCTTATCTTTAACTGTTCTATTATTTTCTAATAAATATTCTTTGTTCCTCGCGTGCTACCTCAGGACGAAGAGTGGACGTGTCCGACGCGGAGGACACAACAGTGGCGATCAGGATAGCGGCTACTAGCGAAGAAGTAGCCGTAACGAAGAAACACGCGCCAGGAAGAAGTCGACGAAGAAGCTGAGAAGAGCTTAACGAATTGATCGATCGACATGGCGAATGTGGACGTCCAGGAGATGATGATGATCTTCAAGGAGATGATCAAAGAAGAAAGGAAGGAGATGATGGAGATGTTCCTGAAACACATCGGAGGCACGAATCAAGGCAGTTCGACGGAGATTCCGAACATGATGTCCGCACTTAGCAATCGGATCGAAAAATTCTACTTCGACCCCGAAGCGGACATGTGCTTCAGCAAATGGTACGCGCGCTACAAGGAAGTCTTCGTCGAAGATGCAAAGCAGCTGACAGAGAATGCCAGGGTGAGGCTTCTCTGCGAAAAGCTGGACAAGGACAGTTTCGAAAAGTACCAGAGGCATGTGTTACCAAAGGAGGTAACCTCGATTAAATTCGAAGAAACCGTCGAAACATTAAAGCAGCTGTTCGACGTGAAGATTTCGGAATTCACTATGCGGTACCAGTGTCCGAAGATTACCTCTTGTACACCGGTCGAGTGAACGAATTGTGCGAAAAAGCGGAGATCCATGACTTGGACAGCGCTGTCATAAAATGCTTACTATGGATTTTTGGCCTGAAAAGCCAAAAAGAAGCAGAAATCAGGCAGCGACTCATAGCCGTACTGGACAGGGAGTACAAGGCTGGACGAAAGATGTCGCTACACGAATTGTACCTGGAGTGCGAAAACTTCCTTAGTCTCAAGAAAGATAGCGAGACTGTAGCTGGTTGCACGAAGATTGTCGAAGCAACAAGCAAGGAAGAACCCATGAAGCTGGAATGCTGGAACTGTGGTAAAGCTCACTTTGCCAGGGAATGCAAAGCGAAGCTGTGGTATTGCAAGAAGTGCAAGAAGACAGGTCACAAGGAGAAGTTTTGCGAACAAGTGGCTGAGAGAAAAGCAGTCGTTCAGCAGGATTGGAAACGAAGAATCCACAGAAGCAGCGACACCAGTAAGAACAGAAGTTGGACGAAACCGAAACGTCATGTTCATAGTATCGCGAAGATTGCGAATGCGATGATGGAAGTGAATTCGACTCGCGTATATGTAGAAGCGAAAGTAAATAGCCATCCAGTTAGGTTTACTGGACACAGGGTCAGATATCACCTTGCTGAACGAAGCGGTTTGGAGAAGCATGGGCACTCCACTGTTGGAAAAAAACAAGCGTGATCGTTAAGAATGCTAGCGGAAACTCCATGACAGTTCATGGAAAGCTATGGTGTGAGTATGAGATCGAAGGATCCAGAAGCGAAGGCTACGCATACGTGACGCCCCACAACTCTGCTAGGATTGGAGTGGATCCAGAAGAACGAAGATATGTCGTATCACTCAAGCAGAATGGTTGCTGAAGTGAAGACAGAGCAAACCAAGGACATCGCTATGAAGCTGAAGGAAGCCTATCCAGAAGTCTGCAAGGAAGGTTTAGGGCTCTGCACGAAGGAGAAAGCACACATGAGAATTAACGAAAACGTTCGTCCCGTTTTCAAGGCTTGCAGGCCTGTTCCACATGCTGCACTCGAAGCTGTCGAAAAGGAGTTGAATAGACTATTGGAACTGAAGGTCATAACTCCAGTAACACACAGTGAATGGGCAGCTCCCATTGTGTGTGTTAGGAAAGCGAATGGAAAGTTGAGAGTGTGCGCTGACTTCTCAACTGGACTCAACAAAGCGCTGAAGTCGTATGATTACCCGTTGCCATTGCCGGAGGATATATTCGCATTACTCAATGGAGGCACTGTGTTTTCGCAGATAGATCTCTCGGACGCCTACCTGCAGATCGAATTGTCAGAAGAAGCGAAGAAAATGGTTGTGATAAATACGCATAGAGGACTATACCAGCACAATAGACTGCCTTTTGGAATCAAGACGGCACCAGGGATCTTCCAGCAAATCATGAACAAGATGGTGAGCGGATTGCGAGGGGTAGCAACCTACTTAGACGACATCTTGGTCTGTGGAAGAACCAAAGAAGAACACATGGAGAATCTACTTGCTGCGTTTGCAAGAATCGACGAATATGGATTCAAAATTCGTCTAGAGAAGTGTTCTTTCGGTAAGCCAGAGATACGATATCTTGGCTTCATAGTGGATCGAAATGGCCGAAGACCGAACTTAGAGAAGATTGAAACAATCAAGAATATGGATGAGCCGAAGAATGTTAGCCAACTGAGAGCTTTTCTTGGCATGATAACGTACTATGCGGCGTTCATGCCAAAGATCAAGGATCTTCGTGGGCCATTGGACGCGATGCTCAAGAAAGATGCGAAGTGGGCTTGGACACGAACACATCAAGAAGCGTTCGAAAAACTCAAGGAGACTTTGTCAAGTGAGCTGAATTGCTCACTATGATCCAAGACAGAAGATCGTCGTGGCAGCGGACGCCAGCGATTATGGAATTGGATGCGTGATATCGCACAGATATGCCGATGGATCCGAAAAAACAATTGCACATGCATCGCGGTCTCTTACGAAAGCGGAGAAGAACTATTCGCAGATCGAAAAGGAAGCATTGGGAATTGTCTTTGCTGTCAAGAAATTCCACAAGTACATATTCGGACGAAAGTTTCTATTGTTGACGGACCATCAACCTTTGCTAGCCATCTTCGGTGACAAGAAAGGAGTTCCAGTCTACTCCGCTAACCGACTCATGAGATGGGCTACAATACTGCTTGGATATGACTTTGACATAGAGTATGTCAAGACTACGAAGTTTGGACAAGCAGATGGCTTGTCACGGTTGATGAAAAAGAGTCAGAATAACGAAGAAGACGTCGTGATAGCTGCCGTTGAGAACGACGTGAACTTCATGTTGAAGAATTGCTTAAGGAAATTGCCAGTGACGGTATCAGATGTGCAATCCTATACGAAGAAGGACCCACTGCTACAAAGAGTGATGATCTACTTCAAGAAAGGACAGTGGCCAGACGTCAATGGAGAATTGGCATTTTCGAAATCGAACAGAGTCATTGTCAATTGTGGAGCAGTGTCTGATGTCAGCCGAAAGGGTTGTGATACTCAAGGAGCTTCGAAGAAATGTTCTGAAGGAACTGCATATTGGTCATCCAGGGATAGTAAGGATGAAGAAACTGGCTCGAAGTTACGTCTACTGGCCGAATATAGACAAGGATTGCGAAGATTTGGTACGAAGGTGTACGAAATGTCAGGAATTGGCCAAGAATCCGATGAAAGTACCATTAGAAGCATGGCCATCCGCGACTCGAGTGTGGCAGAGGATACACATCGACTTCGCTGGACCCATGCAAGGAGTCTTCTACTTGGTCGTGGTAGATGCCTACAGCAAATGGCCTGAAATGATCGAGATGAGCAATATCTCGGCTGCGAAGACGGTGAAGGCTCTGAAGAATTTGTTTGCAAGGTATGGATTACCGCAAACAATAGTGAGCGACAATGGTACCCAGTTCACATCGGATTTATTCAAGAGGATGTGTGACGAAGGTGGAATCACGCATATAAGAACTGCTCCGTACCACCCTCAATCGAATGGACAGGCAGAGCGTTTCGTTGATACGCTGAAACGCGGAATCAAGAAACTAGAGGGGGAGGAGAGGCCAACAGAAGAGACTCTGAATGTGGTGTTACAAGCGTATAGGACAACACCAACCACGAACTTGAACGACAAGACGCCAGCAGAATTGTTTCTCGGCAGAAACTTGCGCACAAAATTAAGTCTGCTATTACCGATGACAGAAGATGCAGAAGACCCGCTCGCACGAAGAAGACGAAAGCGCATGAAGGACCAGTTTGACCAGAAGCATGGAGTCGTTCGAAAAGATTTCGAAGTTGGTGACCTGGTATATGCCAAGCAATGGAAGCCACCCCACTTCCATTGGATGAAAGGAACAGTGATGAGACGTATTGGACGCGTCAACTATGAAGTAATGGTTGGAAATGAAATCTGCAAGAAGCACGCAAATCAACTACGTCACCGAAGCGACAGCGAACAGCTTGCGGTCCAACAGCAACTCAAACAACAGTCCGAAGTCTTGAAGATACTGTTGGATGTTCTGACAGAAGACGACACACTATCGAGGAATGGCAATGCTGCTGAAGGGAGTTCTGAGCAAGCGATCGCGAGCGATGTGCCAGTACCCGTGGATTCAACGACATCGACGTCGCCATCAAGTCACGAGCCCTCCACGCCACAGCCAACGCTTCGGAGATCGAGCAGAACGAGAAGACCGGTACAACGGTTCCAACCTAGTCCATAGTACGTTATTGTATGTTTGCTTCATCAGTTTGTAGTTGTTTAAATGATATGCTATCTATATATGACCGATTTCTTGTTGTTCATATTTATAGTTCATGCTTTTGACGTAGGCTAGTTCTGTTGTAACTACCCTACTGGGGGGAGGTTTTGTGTTAGTGTCTAATCAGTTGTTTCCTCGTATGATCTGCCCTCGCTGAGGCGCCTGCAGCCTCATTGCGCGGGAAATGAGCGCTATAAAAGGCGCTCGCTGTTAGCCATTGTCAGTTCGTCTGTTCACTCATCTGCCTCTTTTATTTTTGGCTGTTCTATTATTTTCTAATAAATATTCTTTGTTCCTCGCGTGCTACCTCAGGACGAAGAGTGGACGTGTCCGACGCGGAGGACACAACAGGTTTCATGGGAATTCGCTCAGACGCAGAGTAGTAAGGTCGACCGACCTTACTACTCTGCGTCTCAGGCCTCCGGCATACCTCACGCGATTTCAGTCGCGATGCGATTTGGCAATATTCCAAATGTTTATAACTCATAATGGACGCATTCTAAAGGTAGCAAAGTAGGGCATAATATCAGTCTGCAAAAGTTGTACTGGCTATGCATTTGTAATCTGCCAGTGCTGGATTTGAAGAAATCTGGCAATTTGCCAGATGGCGTGGCGTTGTAATCGCGTGAAGTATGCCCAATAGCTAAGCGAGCGAGAGCGAGTCCGTCTACGATGCATGATTTTTCTAGATGCTGAAGAGAGAGGAGAGGGGAGTTTAGAGAATTATCAGTTAGCCATTGCAGAAAATCACAGAAATTCCCACACAACGTCGGGAAAAAGCAAAACTGAAACTCGCCTGAAAAAGTCGTTCACGATCTAAAGTATTGGCTGTCCGAGCCACAAACTGTTCACACCTGGCGACAACGGGCTTCATTTCAAAACGTGATGCCACCCGAAGCACAAGAGATACATTGGAAACTGAAGTAAATGCAGTTGCTTCTACAAATAGAGGAAGATTGAAACTAACCCGCGATAGGTTTCCGCATTGGGCAAAAGAATATACAACGGAAAAACTCAAGCATGTCACTCGGCTTGATATCATCAATAATGAGCGAATGATGCGCATCATCACCAAAGCAGTACTCGGCAAAAAATGGTGACAGCTCGGCCAACCAGCCAGGATTGACGAAGCTGGAAGGAAAGATGAAGGGTTCAACAACTCTTCTCTTAACAAAAATAATGATATTACTGCGTGAATAAAACAAGAATGTGAGATCAATATTCACTGAAAACGTAAAAGTTCAAAAAAAAAAACTAGACTCATCAGTTACACTCAACAACAAAACCTGGGGACTCACAATGATCGGTCTTCTACAATAACTTCAAAATTCCTCCACGGTGTTGCAACGGAGAAATCATCGTAGCACGATTTTGAAACGACTATGTCTTCGCTCATGCCTTGAAATACTGTGAATGGCTCAGCTGGCTCCTAAACAAATGGAAATTCAGACTTATTTTTTCCCAAACAGAGAAGAGAGTGCTATCAAGTCCGAGACTATACGCATCTTCTTCCCTTGATGAGAAGGTCTAAGAAATCCTAAGATTTCACCGAGAGAAACAGCAAAGCTCAAAGGCACGTTATCTTACGAAATCGGTTAAGAATCTTCGCGAGACACATAAGCGTGTTGCATTGACACACGCCATACTTGATCCACTTGATCCTCTTTCCCACTTCGTTATTGGTCAAATCAGTACTGACCAATGGCGAGGATGAAGTGGGTCAAGCGGATCAAGTATGGCGCGTGCCTGAAGCATGCACTGCAGAGTATAAATGAAAAGCATTTCTGATATATGAAATGTGAGCATTTCCCCTGTCCACTGACACTGATTTAGATGACACGTAGGTTACGCATTCAACAGACGTAGATTTCAAAATACGACACTATTTAGTCTGACGCAGTCGCGAGAAAAAGAAAAGATCCTCCCTGCTGGTGGTTCTGAAGTTGAATTAAATAGAAAAATTTGCTATGGTCAATTCTAATTTTTTGAAGATTTCAGTTGAAGTTCCAAGGAGTAGCGTAGAAAGTAAGTGCAGACTCTCCGGCGATGTAGAGCTTTTTACAACATAGTACTGCGACTCAACGAAATTAAACGTGAAGCGGTAATGGGTGCATTTCCTCTGCTTTAGTGTGCCACCTCTAAACATGTAGCTGCATACACCCCATTCAGGAGCTCCTTAAATTTCCAGTTTTGGGTTTTTCAATTACAGAATATTTGCTGAAAACCATGCCATCGACGCTTGTCTCTCCCTCCGAAGGAAGGGTAGCTAAAAGTGCGGATACTTGAATTCAAAGGCCCGTATGCACTAGCATCCCTGCGACGAAAGGAGAGGCATCCCCAATGCTGAAAAAGCCTTAACAGCGTCTCCATGCGGCCCCTCCATAAAGGAAGACGCCTTTCCCCTCGATGTAGAGATGTTAGTGCATACATGCCTAATTCCTTGAGGCGCACCATGCCGCCGGAAACGAGAAAATGCTATGGAATGGGACACTGGCCCCGATGGAGCGGTGGCAGGTCATGCCAATTCAGCTGTTAGCCAAACCATCTCCGCGGGACCTCGACAAGAGTGGTAATCCTTGCAGTAAATGAATGTGAACTTGTAACTTTTGGCAGGGAGAGAACTTTCTCTCCATTTCTTCAAAGAAAATACTTATGCGCAAGTCCTTTGTGCAAGACTTTCGGTGACACAGCAAGGCCAGCACATAGATGCTAAGAGTCATTCTTGAAATTGTGACGACGAGTTTGACTGCGGCCTTTGCGGACACAGGAGCATAAAACACCCATGCAAAATGCATCACCGCAACTCCCAGCTCAGTCACTTCCAATGAATAAAGACTATCATATGTATGCAGAAAACCATTCAAGTATACATATAGATACACAAAAATGGAAGTGCGCGCGAGTCGCGCGCGGTCGCGCCATCGTTACGATTTTTCGATTGCCCTATCGTCGAGCCAGTCTAGTAAGCGTCGCCCAGCGGAAGCGGCTGGCTACTAACAAGACTACAGTGTTGTGATAGAAGGTTTATTATCTATCGAATAGGAAACTATAGGAAACGTGAGAGGAGTGGATCGTGGACTTGAGAGGATGAGTGTGTGGTTGACTTCGGGCAACCACCCCCAGGAAAGAGAGTGAGTATCGTGGAAGCTTCCTTGTGCTCTGTGTGACTTGGTTATATACCTAGCTTCATAGCACATCATCTCCGAGAGCATGGGAATCACTGTTCTCATAAGACAAACGATAACATAGGATAACATCCTACAGCAAAGAATGCGCTTGACATTCTAGCGCAAAGACGCCGCTCTCACAGTCTCTTCCGGAGCGCTCTGGCTTCTAGCTCATGGTGTGAGCATCAGGATGTGGTAATCACAACACTCACTTTGTAGTGGCTCAGCTAAAGCTGAGTGTTGGCGCCAACACCCCATTTTTGACTTGTCTGTACGCTATCTCCAATCGAATGAGGGCGGTCTGTCACTTACTTTGAGCGAGTCATGGCTAGATGAATTCAAATATATCAGATAGCAGATTACACTGACTTGTTGTAGGAAAGGTGAACTTCTGCTGACCGCTTTTGCTTTTCGATCAGTCGGAAAAATGGTTGGACATTACAGAAGGGTTACCGTTATTTTTGAAATCTATGTTTCAGATTCAGTCCGTGTACTTGTAGAGATATCCCATCAAGATTTTTGAAACATCTCTCCGTTTTGTTGAAGGAATTCTAGAACTAAAAAGTACTAAACGATCATCATACTCCACTTCTTCTTTCGGACTGAGCGACGGCAAGAAAATTTGTTATCAAGATGTAGACCACTCTTCTCTTACGCTAACTACCCAACATTGTGAAATAGATTAGAGAAATAAAACAAACCTGCGCCATAGTAAGTTGTCAGACGATAAAAAATGAGACTTGCTCTATCGTATCGATCAGATTCTCAACGCTAACTTGTTTGACCTATACAAACACGTCCACTCAGGCTATCGAGTTTCTGTTTCACTGCTTACAAATTTTCTTGAAAGACTCCCAAAAATAAAATCTAATGGCTCAGAATACGCGCAAAAGAGTCTCCACTAACAATAAGTAAAAGTGATTAAACACTACTTCCAGAGCATTTTTCGTTGTTTTCACTCCAGCTGGCACTTGAATGATTTCAAATTGAATTGTCCAAAACAGTATTTGAATAGACTATGGACCGACTATACATGTGCTCAATTTCCCCTTCCCCTGCTTCTGAAGATATGAAATTGACAGATGAGACGTAGAAACTTTAGCTATCTCTTTATTGGCTACGGTAGCTCAGATCTAGTGTTCGCACCACTCGCATTTGATTACACGCTAAGCCACGTTGCACATTGAGCAGTAAATTTTCTTCTTCACTGGTAATAGGTAATTCCATTTCTTGGGTTTTACGATTGATAACATGGGATTCAGCAGCTCCATTATCTTTTTTGAAATTTGTGACACTCAGTAGCCGAAGGGTGCCACCATTTTGTCGGTGCCGGATTGTCTAGGCGTCTTTTTCAAGTTTTATTTTGCGTAATTGTGTTTAGAAGCAAAGGTGTCTGCAACGGAATAAGTTTTCTTGTGTGGATTAAGCTAAATTGGCTAGGTTTCAGGTAGATTATGTCTTTTTATGACCAAGCAGGCTCTAGTGCTGGAATTGATCATCGACGAAAGTGGGATCAGGTTGGTTTTTTCTTTGCGATTTCCACTTATTTCTCATAATTTGTTATCCTATACAGGAGGAGTTTGCAAGGAAGGCCGCTGAGCGGATAAAAACGGAAAAGAATGATGAAGCTATTCGTAACGGTTTGAAACCGAAGGATGAACCGAAGGTGAAAAGGGAGATGTTGAAAGCTAGAGACTACAAGGTGAGTATACCACAGTTGAAGTTTATGAGGACTTAATTTTATTTCATGAATTATCATAAACTTCCTTTGCTCATGTCACTTATTCGAAATTCCTTTGCATCGGTAACTTCTTCAGGTCGATCTCGAATCAAAACTTGGACGATCTGTCGTTATCAACAAGACAACTCCAGCTGCTGAAACTGGTGGATACTATTGTGATGTTTGCGATTGTGTTGTCAAGGATTCTATCAACTTCCTTGATCACATCAATGGTAAAAATCACCAGAGGTCAGTTTGTTGTATCCAACTTGCAATGGTCATAATGCTCACAACATTGTAGGAACATGGGCATGTCGATGAAAGTTAAGAGAAGTACCTTGGAGGAAGTCAGGGAGCGGTTCAAGCTGAAGATGGCTGAGAGTGAGTTTGTTCGTGTTTTTTTCAATTCACATCATTTCTCGTTTTTTATCCCTTCGATTACATTGTAATCGCTTAGAAATTGCTGCTGTACTTTGTTCATTTCACTTTACTTCCTTCGTTAGCAAATTTGGCAGAATTTTGTCTAATATATGTGTTACAGAGGAGCAGGAGAAAAAGCAAAAGAATATGGAAGAGATTTTGGGCGACGTCCACGAGGAGGAGATAAGAATGCATGATTACAAGAAGGTAGGCATTGGGTCAAGTTATTGTCGGACTTGGTTCGGGCACTGTTGCCTTTCAAAAAATTCTTTCATACTGATAATGATGATTTGCCAATATTGAATGTTCATATGCAGATGTGGATTGAGAAATTGTTTTGAAGTGAGCGAATCAGGTGTTCATCTACTGCAGGAAAAGAAAGCTGAACAACGCAAAAGGAAGCTCATCGAAGCAGCTCCCGAAGAAGATGATTTGGATCCAGAACTCAAAGCTATGATGGGATTCGGTGGATTTGGCTCCTCGAAGAAGAAGTCATGATACTGACCCATGCTGCAGTAGTGTGATTTTTTATTGTACATAATTCGATCTCTTCAGGTGTTGTTTGTTCAAGATAAACTCTTTTGAGAATCATTTTCTTTGAACACAACCAGTTTCTACCTAGTAATCGATCATGATGCTATCTGCTTTTCATTGTTATCCTTCATATCATATACGTCCTTTTTAAAATCTAGTTTCCACCATGGCCGCAAATCGACTGGGCATTGCGGCCCTTATCGCGGTTGTGTTGGGCCTATCGTATGCAGCGCAGCCGACTTCACTTGATGAAAAGGTTTGTCTGGAGTAAGGTGTCGTTTGAAATGCAATGGACGTTTTCTTCTAGGTCAAAGCACTACAAGATCTGCTATATCGTCAACCTGCAATACGGCTGAACATGGATCGTTGGAAGACGTTTGTCAGACAACAACCACGTAACTACAGTATGATCATCATGTTCACGGCATTGTCACCTGGCGTAAATTGCCCGATTTGCAAGTAGGTTGACTCTTCTTGATATAATTGTTTGCCAACAGTTTTTTATACGATATACTTTAGACCCGCTTATGACGAATTCATGATCTTGGCGAATTCTTATCGATACGCTCATTCTGAACTGAAACAAGTGTACTTTGGAGTTGTCGACTACGAAGAAGCTCCACAGATCTTCCATGCGGTGTGTTTATTTTCACTGCCAGATTTTTTTCCTTTCTATCATTACTAAATTTTGGAAAAAAACAAATTTGAAGCACACTCTTGATTGCATTCTTATAGCTTTGTTCTAGATGAACCTCAACACTGCACCGATTCTATACCACTTCGGACCAAAGTTGCAGGCCAAGAAGAAGCCCGATCAGATGGATTTCCAGCGTCATGGAATAGATGCGGAAGCTATGGCACGTTTTGTTGGAGAGTACACTGACGTACAGGTACGCTTTTGCTATTTTTGCTGTTTATCGCACGCGCTGCAGCGGCTGCACGACAGTATGCATGGCAGCCGCGTTTGAAGAACTTCAGTATTACCTGCTAATTATCATTGTTCAAGATCCGCATCCTCCGACCTCCCAGCTATGCTGCTCCTGTGGTCATTGTACTGCTGCTCGCACTTGTTCTTGGTCTCCTATACATGAAGAGGAATAATCTGGAATTCTTGTACAACCGCACAAGTTGGGGACTGGTTTGCCTTGTGAGTAAACTGGTTGTTTTTGTACTTCAATCTAACTACTTCTGATATTTAGTGCATCACGTTTGTATTCTTGTCTGGCCAGATGTGGAACCACATTCGTGGCCCGCCTTTCATCATGAACAATCCGCAGACGCGAGAAGCCAGCTTCATTCATGGCTCAACACAGTATCAGGTGCACTTCTTTGGCGATTTTTGTGTTGACCTATATCATCTGGTTTCCACATTCTGGTTGCGCTTCACATCCTCTTATATTGTGTGTTTTATGGAGGCAGTAATTTTAGCTTGTTGCTGAAACATACATTGTTGGTGCTCTATACGCTGCAGTCACCTTCGGCTTCATTCTTCTCAATGAGGCCGCGAGTCCTAGCAGTGAGGTTGTGGAAAAGAAAAAGTCGAGCAGCTCGAAGCCCTTCTTTGGCATCAATAACAACAGTAAGTGATGTTGCATGATGGAACCTTTTGTCAAAGAGTATTATTTTAGTGCTTGCTTACGTTGGTCTCGGCCTGGTGGTCATCATGTTTTCGCTTTTGCTGTCGATCTTCCGCAGCAAATATCGTGGATATCCTTACAGCTTCCTATTCAGTTAAAGTCCTCCGCTAGTCCCAGGAATATCAGACTATTGCATGTGTGAACGTCACCTACAGTATGCTTTACCAATCGTTGTGGAGCATGTCATCGTTAAATCATGGTTTTGTCTGTTTTCTCCATTTTAGTATTTATCGTAAATCGTTAGGGTTCCTATCTATTCGCCTATGGGTCTGAGCCTTGTTGTCTCGAGGGTCATCCTCGAATTTTGTGATTGATTAAGGTAATTTTATGGTTTTCATATGATGAATGTGTTGCTGTCTTGTATTTCCCTGTGCCGCTCATGTATGAGAAATTCGCATCCACCGCAACACGGTACGAAGTCTCGCAAAGGCTTCAGATTCAATGCCTGGAGAACAATGCGAGCTGGTGTGTGCGGTTGTTTGGCGACTCTTCCAAGGAATTATCGCATCATTATCACCACTTTGAAAGTTACTTCATATTTGAAGTCAGTCTTCAGATAATGATAATTGCAGATACATGCTATAAGTGGGATTACCCGAGTAGTTTGACAATCTGCTCCATAAAATGGTACAGAGGGGTCTGTTGGCACGATTCTAAGCGAACAACATCATTGAGAAATTAATGGGCGTAAACAGAAGTGCCAAAATTTGCAGCAGTCGTAGTCAGTCCTAGAAGTGCGTGGGGAGCATCTTTGTAAAGAGCGCGTCCAGATCGGCATGTCGCGTCATTTACATGTGCCGCTATGCATGCTGTGATGAGACCATACATGTTCCGTTAATTTCTTCATCTGGAAAAGTCTTATCGGTGCATTGTAGCGCACATCTCGGTCGCCACAGACCTGGTAACGGAATTGTGCAAGTACCCTAATTTCACGCGTACAAGGCGCGGGGTGGTCCTAGCTTTCATCGACCAGCCCGAACGCAAAGGACTTCGCAACCAAAGGAACCTCACACCGTGCTGCGTTTTGCCTGACGAATCGTGCAGCATAAGGATCGCTTCTTAAAACACGTTGGGGCAGCTGAGCAGCTCGATGAAAGCTAGGACCACCCCGCGCCTTGTACGCGTGAAATTAGGGTAGCTTGTTTTTAATCGCAAGCAATCTGTAAAATGTTAAACATTTACATTGAAATTGGAAAAAGATTGCGGTTCCTTCTTTGGAGGCAGTGGCCCGGGAAAATTGCGACTGCGAGATTCCCATAAAGGCTACTGCATGACGAAGGCGCAATAGCAGTATTAGTTCAGCAGGCGCGAACGCGGCGCGCACGTGTCTTCACTGTTGTAAATCCTGCGCCTCTTGTGCTCTACGGCTAATAAAGCCGCGTTCGCGCACAAAGACATTGTGTAATAAAATAAAGATTTATGCCTATTGAGACGACTTTGTCCAGTAACGCTTACGTATATAACCTCTCTCTAAGTGACTCCTTCTCTCTACAGCACACAAGAGATTACTAAGCTTTTATCAGTGTATGTACGAAACATGGTGTAAAGGGCAAGTAATGTAAAAGGAGCACGGAAGGATGTACAGGAAGTACAGAAAGAGATACGGAAGACACATTACAGAGATAACTATTAAAGAGGTGAAGAGAACAGACAAAAGGAAAGGGGAAGTAAATGGTGGGGGTGGGGTTGAAGGCTCACCTCAGCATGATGGTAAGAACGCCAGCCAAAGCTGGCATGCTGTCGCACAAAAGCCCAGTGGGCGGGACTTATGTCTTTTTATACCCTATATGTGGGCGGGTAAGATGGAGCGGCCGAACTTGGTTGATTGGCGTTGTGATAAGTTTTGCGCTTTTCCTACAATTGCGCCTTCGTCATGCAGCAGCCTATACCTACATACATTGGCTCTGATGAGGTGAGTTTTGAAAATAGCGACTTGCAGGAGCCAGTTGACTAGGAGTTGCAGGAGACTGCAACTCCACCCTTGTGGCGGTAACTGGCTGATCGGCTCATGCAGCCATTTGCGATGTTGGCGAGAATCCCTCACCCATTCCTCCCAGAAAACGCCTAAAAGCGCTTTATTGAATAAGCACAGCAGTGGATTCAGGCATCCAGAAGGCCATGTAGGTGTAGAAAGCTCGCAGTTGCAATTCTCCCGAGCCACTGCCTGAAAATTTCGGAGTTAGGAGTCCAAAAAAAATCTCAAAAGCATCTCGAAAAATTCCCGAAGGATGTGGATAACGCCACGCCCTTTCATGATAAAAATTTCTATAAAATTTAAATTTTCACTTTGCATGTTAGGGCCCTTTTTTATGGGGTTTCGGTGCATGCACTTGATCATTTTACCCTGACTACGAATATGATATGCATTGCTACCGTAGCATTATCCCAATATGTATGATCCCGCTATCAAATCGTAGATGAGTTTATTCTTCGACCAGCGCTCTAAACGGTTGGTTCTTTGCCGTGTTGTCCAGCCTATTTGACGCAATACCTGTGGCCGTATTCATCAATGAAACCCGTGGGTTCCGGAACCCACTGGGTTAGTGCTTTTGATGAATATCGATTCCTCGCTGGAGTAGGAACGATGTTCATCAAAAGCACTAACCCAGTGGGTTCCTGAACCCACGGGTTTCGTTGATGAATACGGCCACTGGACACTCTGTTTAGGCTGCTGTCATCCGCTAATCCTACTGTCTTCTGGATGGACACCCCAACTCAGCTATTAGCTACTATGGACCGCTCGAAAGAACGCCAAATCAAATCGGTTGGACTTACCCGGGCATCTCCATACCTATTGCAGCCGACTTGGAAAAGAATGACGGCTTACGCCTTTACGAGCGTATGCTGATCAGCAGAAGAAGTTAAATGCTCAAAATAACATACAGTACTCGGATCCGCCGCACAGGGTCTTCTTCGCAGTCCACAAAAACTTGGAAACTTTCACCTAGCCTCAGCGCTCTTTTTCCGCGTCATTAACTGAACCTTTTATGCCTCTGTTTACAATGCATTCGGAAAGAAATGCGAATAAGTTATATAAAGGTGCCCAGTCTGTGTTACTCAGAAGTCGGGCTTGTACACTCGGAACACAGGGCTTTCTTCGACGTAAGGTGAGTGCATCAATTACATGGTTGAAATTGCCAGTCTTCTTCCTTTCATTCTTGTTAGTGGAAGCGTATTTTCTTCATTTCTCGGGCTTTCTCAGTGTGTTCAAGATTCTCGTTTCCCAGTATACTTTCAGCCTTCTTTTTCGCAGTTTGCATCTTTCGCAAAGCTCTCCTCTGCTTTCTGGCTTTCACTTCGGCAACATTCTTAGAAGGGCGAGCGTTCATTTCGCGTAGACGTTTTTTATACTCCTCGACTTGAGCCTTTGTGACAGGTAGTGCTTAGGGCTGAGCCAGACTCCGCGGGGAAGCGGCGTACGCGGCGTACGCAGCGTCGCTCGGTATATTTCATCATGGGAGCATACGCGGCGTACGCTGCGTACGTCGCGTACGCCGCGCAGTCTGGCCCAACACTTACAGTTATGTTCCTTTCATCATCGACGAACCAGTCTGGGAGGCTAACTCCATTCTTCCACTTTCCTCGCAGATTTACTGGATTATACCAACCGCTCACCGAGGACCAGTTGCTCTGGTGTTAACCGACGCTTCTTTGCCTTAGGTTAATAATCTTCCCAATATAGTCTTGGAGGCTTCTCACTTAGTTGCTCTGTTAACTCCCTCTTCGAACTCCTCCTCCTCCCACGCCATTTCGGCAGTAAACTATGCTGCTGCTGTCTGCTCAACTTGTTCAGTTCTCGCGCCCTGCGGATCTTCTTCAGACTGAACAGTTCGATATCTTCGACTTGATCGACATGGTCGCCTGCTTATGGTTGACTAGCAATGCGAATGTCTTGCTCGTTGAAAGTTCGTATCACTGTAGTAGCTTCTTTCCATTTTTGAATCAAAACTCATGGATTGCATAAAATGCTAAAACTTTGCTGATATCTGTATCATTATCCGGTCAAAATCTCTAATTTTGATGAAACTTCTTGTAAGGGTTCATTTGAAGTACTGAAGATCAATATTACGGTACCAGAAGGAAAGTTAACACTTTTTGTATGCTTTCAACACAATCGCTGCTAAGCTGGTTATTTCAGGATCTCGAGACCGTCAGCGAATCACGTCATGCCTGAAAATTACTCATCCACTGCGGGTACGAGTCAGACATATCTCAGGTTGGCGTATTTCAGTGTTACCCTCTTCAATGATACTTCTCACTTTGCTATCTATTTATAGCTTCGAGGGAAACGCGGACCGTACTCATCAGTGCAGAGCATCCAGATTAGGTCTGACTTAAAGTCGTGATTCAAATTTTCATTACTACATTGTTGTCAATTACATGCAATGACTTGGAATCTTGATTCAAATTTTTCCATTCATTGTTGTCAATTCCATGTAATAAACTGCCAAGAACTGGTTGTTAAATCATTGTTGAATCTACACGTGTATTCACTACCATCGAGAAAGCATCTGCTCACTTGAAAGGAGACGCTAAAAAGGTAGTCATCTCAGCTCCATCTGCAGATGCATCAGTGTTTGTAATGGGTGTGAACTACGAAAAGTACGATCCTGCCAGAAACCACATTGTTAGTAATGCTTTTTGCACTACCAACTGTCTTGCTCTACTGACTAAGGTTCAACGACAACTTCACAGTTATCGAAGGACTTATGACTACTGTCCACGCCATCACGGCAACGCAGAAAACAGTCGATGGCCCATTTGAAAAGCACCATCGTGATGGACGTGGTGCAGACCAGAATATCATCGAGAAGGTCGTCTCAAGGCAGCCTCTGAGGGTCCAATGAAGGGTATCTTGGGGTGCACAGAGGATCAGGTGGTGTCGACTAACTTCGTCGGTGACCACAACTTTTCAATCCTCGATGCGGGAGCTTGCATCTCTCTCAACCCCAATTTGGAAAGCTGTCAAGCTTATTTCATGGTATGACAATGAGTCTGATAATTTATACCGCGTTGTGGACCTCATTACGTTCATTGCCTCGAAGGGCTAAGAAAGCGATGCTCCCGGTCCTCTCCTCTCAAGAAAGTCGTGCTTTTCCAGTGTTTCGGCTATGTTAGTTGCCACTTTTTCAAACGTACACTGCTTTATATAGATGTGTAGGGTCTCTTTCTAATGTATTAGGGTGAACGGTAAAAAGTGGGACACTTACGCAATAACTGGAGGTTTCTTAAGAGTGAGAAGCGATTAGACTTTCCAATTTTGATAGATGTTAGATTATGTTATTCTCTTGCAGATAATACCTATATAAGGTCATTTACATAATTAATAACTTTTATACTTACTGAAAAGCAAAAT